ATGATGAAACAAGTGAGGCTGACTTAATGAGGCACATGAGAGATCATGATACATAGGCATTGAAGGTGCTTTTGTCTTTCTTCTGAAATTGCTCTCGTTATATAGATAGTGTGGTATAAGAAAACTTGTGTGTGTGTGGTGTGTGATGGTGTGGTGTGGTGTGTCTGTAATTACAGTCCCACAGGTTGATACAGCCCACCTCAACTCCATATACATATAGAACCTAATTTGGCACTTCGTCCTCACAAATACAGTCAGCACAAGAGGCCCGTGGAAAAGCGAACAGAGAATAGAAAAATGAAGCGACACCAATCAGAGAATTATCCCATCAAAGAGGCGTCTCGTCGGCTACCAGGAGACTAGGAGGCCATTTGTGTCTAAAATGAATGCAAGACACCTCTTCATATTGTACCTGTGCGCCTATCTGTAGCCTGAAGTCTTTCATGCAAAAATGAAGGACCAGTTCAGCTGCTAACAAGGTCCAGCTCAATTTTCCATGTGGCAAGGCGGTAAAATTCTCTACATATTATCGTTTTAGAATAGAGGCAAAAGTCACTGTTAAAGGCAAGGGCGTTAATGAAGGATATCAACTGACATTTGTGAAGTAGCTAAGTTGTATTTTTTCTTATCTTGAGCCCAGTTGTTTAAGACCGTGTGTATCATGATCACATCCGCTCTTGTCTGCGTGGAGGCTGGAGCCAGGTGGCAGTATAGCTTAGTGCATAAAGACTGGGAACGGGGCAGCGCAATCCCTGTGATTCGTTTCCACTGTAACTGTCAATCCAATAGAGTTATAAAAATACACATATCCACCACTTTTAAGGCTAACGCTTCATCTTTCTATTAATTGAGAGCATCAGTTTGATGCCGAATAAAAAACAGTCGGAACGCTCTTCGAATCCAAGTACATCAATCAGACTGTATCTTCTAGACTACGTTGTGCTGTGGCTAAGACTAAGCTAATGAGAGTTGCATCCCATAGCTGTAGTTCATCTCATGTGTCTTTTGCCTGCAAGTAAAACACATTCGCCTAAATGTTGAAACTCTTTCACCATTTACATATCAAGTAAATGATTTTAAATTCAATGTTCGCATAACTGGTTGTATCTTGTGCATCAATGATTCCATATTTAGCATCACTTCCAATTATTTTATTTTAACGACTGTATGCATCTCTGTGTAATCGTTTCCTTCACACTATATACAGCAGAGCTGATTTCCATTGATTACTTTATGTGTGCAATTTGTATGTGGAGGATCGCGGCGTGTGCTTGGTGCTTGTTTCATGTACTGGTTTGTTCGTTATGAGGAAGTTGCAGTCCTTTAAAGTGCAGAGAGTTGTTTTTGCATATTCTCTGCCACACACCCGTTTCCTCGTTTGAATGAGAAGCAACAAAAACTTTAAATTTTTTCATCTTCTCTATCAGTGAACCACTGAACACAACGTTATTCTTGAAACGTAGATCAATTCAGCTCAAAGCCACTATATTGGAGAGCGAGATTTGAACAATGTTCAGAAGACAAATATAGATCTTTAGCTTTACTATTTGTTCTCAGCTGTTAGTATATCGCGACCTTATCTAACTACACTCTAATAATACTCCTTCGCACACTTTATCTCTTTCGGATGAACATGATTCATAAGAACGCAGAACAAAAAGTGATCGCACACTAAGAGTAGAGAACATGCAGTATAAAATCCATCAATCGGTTCCACTGTGTATTTTTTTGACTTGGAGTGCTATTGATGGCTCGTTATATTCAGCTTTCCAGAGTCGATATAAGTACTTGAGTGTTTTTCTATGACTATCAGAACTATCTATAAAGTCGTATGTAAAGCTGGCCTTTGAGGCGTTTAAAAAACAAAAAAAAAAAAAAAATTTTCTTTTTGCTCCAATACTGATCATTTATTTTTCTGAAATCGTGCACTTTTCTGTCTATTATTATCCAATTCTCTCCTCTG